CCTTCCTGTAGTTAGTCTCATCGTTGTTGCTGATGAGACCCACCACAGTAGTGTCGTCTGCAAACTGGGGGATGATGGTGTTGAATGCTGAGCTGAAGTCTATGAATAGCATTCTGACATAAGGGTCCTTAGTCTTAGCCTTAGTGTTATGGCGCGTTTCCACTACATGGCCTCGCACGGCCTCGCTCGGTATGGCTAGGCCTCGTTAGGACTGGCTCACTTCATGGCGCATTTCCATTACAGTTTAGGAACTGGGGTAGTATCTATAGTAACGCAGTGTAGGCGGAGCCGTGACGTCATCTTCAATGAGAGCCCCAGAAAAACAACACAGCCGTTAGCTGTTAGCACTCAGAGCTCAAAGCTCCTCATATATGTTCAGAAACTAGACAAAAGTGAAACAAGTACAAACCACAGACTGCCTGTGTCATGGCGAATACAGTCGCTGCTTTATTTATGTCTGTATAGGCCGTTGTTGTGAGTGTGGACGGTCGGAGCATATACTGCGTTAGCTTAGCCAATCTCCATTTAGAACACACGCATTTTAAAAGGTTTTTCACCTGCCGTCTGTCTGCAGACTTGACAAAGCATTAATTCATGGTTTTTACTAACCGGTATCAGTATGTTGTTACTTCGGCATCATTTTGAAACGTGTATTACAATTAAATCATGGTCAAATATGTCCATCTTGTTGTAGTTGTAGCCCCCTTGCCAGCGATGCTCTCTCTAGTTTAGCATACTCAGCCCGACTCAGCCTCGTTGTCTCTGGCCCTAGACCCACGATTTTATGAGGCCAGAAAAACTGTGAATTAGGACCCGCCGGCCGGTACTAGGCCAAGTGGAAACGCAACCAAAGACGGGCCGCTGACGTCACAGCCCTCTTAAACCGTGCTCCGCGCTGTAGTGGAAACGCGCCATTAGTGTCCAAGTGTGTGAGGGCTGGGTGGAGAGCGGAGGAGATTGCATCTTCTGTGGACCGTTTAGTTCGGTAGGCAAACTGAAACGGGTCCAGCGATGGGGGGAGGGTGGATTTGATGTGCTTCATGACCAGCCTTTCGAAGCACTTCATGATGGTGGAAGTTAGCGCGACGGGGCGGTAGTCGTTGAAGCCGGATGGAGATGACTTCTTTGGCACTGGAATGATGGTGGTTTCCTTGAAGCACGAGGGAACAACAGCCTGGCTCAGGGAGATGTTAAAAATGTCTGTGAGGACATCTGTGAGCTCTTCCGCGCAGTCCTTCAACACACGACCAGGAATGTTGTCAGGTCCTGCAGCCTTGCAGGGGTTAATCCTCAGCAGTGTGCTCCTCACACTGGCTGGTGAAAGACGCAAAGCCTGGTCGTCGGAGGGGGGGGTGGTTTTCTGCGCAGGTGTGTTGTTCTGTGCTTCAAAACGTGCAAAGAAGCCGTTGAGGTTGTTGAGCAGGGAGGTATTACTGTCACAGGTCTGTGGCGGTAGTTTGTAGTCCGTTAGGGTCCTTATGCCCTGCCACAGGCTCTGTGAGTCCCTGCTATCCGTGAAATGTCCTGTAATTTCTCGGGTGTATTCTTGTTTTGCTTTCCTGATGCCACGGGACAGGTCAGCCCTGGCTGCTTTCAGCCCAGCTGGATCTCCAGCTCTGAAGGCGATGTTGCGGGCCTTCAGCAGCGTGTGGACCTCCCCTGTCAGCCATGGCTTCTGGTTAGCCCGGATGGTGATGGCTCTGTTTTGTGTCACATCGTCAATGCACTTGGTGATTTAGCCCGTGACTGTCTCTGTGTATTCTTGTATGTCGGTGTGATGGTTGTATGTGGCTGCCTGCTTGAACATGTCCCAGTCTGTAGTGTCAAAGCAGTCTCTGAGTGCAGCTGTGCTGACCTCTGACCACACCCGAACCTGTTGAAACCGGTTTTGTGGCTTTTACCCTGGGTCTGTAGGCCGGTTCCAGCAGAACAGTGAGGTGGCCAGAGAGGCCGATGTGGGGGAGGGGGGATGCCTTGTATGCTCCCTTGATGTTGGTGTAGACCAGAGGCCTGTACTACGAAGCTGGTTCAACCTAACCTGGATATGTTTGAGTTAGCCGGTTGGCCCAATCCAAAACATACGCGCTCTGGCTAAGCTGTACTACGACGCTGGTTATCAAGTGGATCGCTCAAGCCAGCCGTGTCCTATCTAGTTAGGTGCGCGTTCACATGAAAGGGGTGGTATTTGGAGCATTCGACCAATCTCAAACACGGACAAGCGTACTGACAGCGCAGCGTCATACTTCCTGAATGAAAAGTGAACTTTAATATTAGTCAAATATGAAGAAGTTAAACTTTAAACATCCATGACTTAAACACTTTATCCAGGATCAAAGCCACATAGCTGCACCTGCAAGGTGAATACAGCTGGTAAAAGAAAAAGCGTTTGAATGCGTACATTAACAGGTTTATGATATCACTGCCCCGTCCAAGACACGATCTGACTTTAATTAGGAGAATTTGACTCGAGTGTTTCGTCAACTAAATGTGTTGCTTAAAAGAATACTTCTGCATACAGTATGTGACACTGTGAGTGTTGCACGGCCAGATACGGCTCAAGAAGCTGACTCAAATAAGGAAATATATGGTACATTATGATGTGATATGATATGAATGATAATGGGACACATCGACGTCTGCACTCACAGTGCCGCGGACTGTACTTAATGTTACTCTGATCCGGTTACTTATGTCGTGGCAGATATTTAAGTAAGCTTTCTTAACGCTAATATTATAATAGTCAGATTGCTCTGAAGATGGGAGGGGATATTCTATTCATTTTCACGTTCATACAGTCAGTTGATTTTTGCCGGCCGTCTTTCCTGCAACGGCAGTTTTTCTGTATTTCCTCTATCCTGTAATATGAATTGATCGCTTTAAACTCCGCACACGGAGCTCTGATTGGTCAGCAGGCAGTGCTTTCACTGAGTTGATCTCTTAGCCTGCCACCTAACCTGCTCCGGAGCAGGTTTGCCGCTCAGCATAAGTTACCATGGAAATCTAGCCCGCTAAAAAGAGAACCAGCGTCGTAGGACCGGAAAGCCTGAGATTTCCCTGAAGTTAGCCGGCTAAGAGAAAATCCTGCTTCGTAGTACAGGCCTCTGGTCTAATGTGTTTTTCCCCCTGGTTGGAAAAACAACATGCTGATATATTTTAGGCAGCACAGTTTTTAAGTTAGCGTGGTTGAAGTCTCCAGCTACGATGAGTAGGCCGTCTGGGTGTGCTGTCTGTTGCTCACTGATGGCTCGGTACAGTTCACCGAGTGCCTCCTCTTTACCCTCGCTACTGGGGTTAGGCGGGAGGTAAACAGCCACCACAAGAATCGCTGTAAACTCCCTCGGCAGGTAAAAAGGACGGCATTTTAGAACCATAAATTCCACCAGTGGCGAGCAGTGTTTGCTAACAACAACAGTGTCTCGGCACCAAGCGTCACTGATGTACACACACTTTAAGCAAAAATAAATGGTGATGGCGCCGGAGCCACGAACTTAAGCAGCCATCTTCCTCGACGTCCACTCCTCCTCCCAGTCTTTCTAATGTTATATAAAAATAGACTCCACACTTGTTCCAGAGGTAGATAAAATAGCTAAGTGTGTTAGGTCTAATTCTTAGTGTGTGTTCTGCTCCGCTCACCGGTCCGTCACAGCGGGCGGAGCTGCAGGATTTCTGCTTCACACACGTTGCATACCGCTATTTTATTGTCTTTTTCGGACACCTTAAAATACTGCCAGACTGGTGAAGCCATTTTGGCGAGCTTGTTTTGCCGCGCACAGAGAAAAGTGTCATGTATTTTACGTCATGTGAACGGCTCTCCTGATCGGCCTTTTATAGAGAGGATCGATCGGCCGAGGGTGAATATCGGCCGATAACGATCGGCGTCCGATCGATCGGAGCATCCCTAATAATAAGAGTAATAACTTGGTGAGCAGGAGGTTGTGTTGAACACTAGCAAGTGCTGTTGAGAGAGAGCAAGACACACATTGACACAGAGAGAGACAGAGATTCACACACACACACACACACACACACACACACACACACACACACACACACATAAACAGGTTTCTTGTACACCCGGCTCTGGGCTGCCACCCAAACTCTTTCCTCACAGCTACATGCTCCTCACTGATGTCTCCCTGCCGGTATCTGCTCCCAGGGTTTAGACTGGACACAAAGCTAATTTTCCGCATGGTGGGATAAGATACAAAGTAAATGCAAAGACACAAATAGCCTAGAAGGAGGCAAAGACATGAAACGTATAGCCGCAACTTGAACATTTGGTCGAGATATTTTTGTGACGCTCTGTTGCGAAAGCCTGTCAGTGTTGAGATTCTGCTACTGTCGTGACTGAAGTGCTGAAGATGAATCAGTAAAGGGAAACACATCAGCACCCCGAGCTCTACAGTTCCTCATATTCAAATAAAAAATGGCGGTGGTAGCGAAGTATGTAGGGACTTGGCTTGGGAATTGGAAGGTCACTGGTTCGAGTCCCCGAAAGATCAACCGCTACCGAGGTGTCCCTGAGCAAGGCACCGTTCCCCCCGGGCAGCGTACATATGGCAGCCCACCGCTCCTATGCAGTATGTAAATGTCCCCTCTGTGGGACGATAAAGGGTTCCTTTTCTTTTCATCTTATAAATGTATGTGTAAACCAGAGTCAGATACACACAATATAGTAGCTGTTGTATTTATGACTAGATTAAGTTGAGTAGCAGCTACGATGTTAGCTTAGCCAACTTTAGTCAAACCAATCTCCATTCAGAAAACAAGCATTTCAAAAGTGTTTTATTTGTTGCGTTGCAGACAGACCTGACAAATAATTAATTCAGGCTTCTTACAGATCAGTAACATTATGTAGTTATTTTGATATCCTTTTTGACATGTGACTTGCTAAATACGGTGAACTTGCTGTGTCCAACTTTGAAATTATGTTTGGTTTCTTAACTAATAAGAAACCAATTATCTACCATGCGCTATAAAGGATGTGTTCATCTCAACAGACGAAAGAAGAAGAAATCCAGAAGAAAAGCTGGACTGCAGAGAGACAGTCAGACCAGCACTGTACAGAGTAAGTCTGAACATCTGTCTGCTGGGGTCTTCATGTCAGAATCAGGATTCTTCATGTTTTTTTTTGTTGTTGTTGTTTTTAACTCACATGTTTCTTTCTCTTTCAGCAGATAGTGGTCTGCAGGAGGTTTTAGATGAACATAAGATCAGTCTGAGGAGGAGATGTGAACGTGTGACTGAAGGATGTGAACATGTGACTGAAGGAACTGATCAAAGTGAAACCCTCCTCAACAGGATCTTCACTGAGCTCTACATCACACAAGGCCAGAGTGAAGAGGTTAATACCCAACATGAGGTGAGGCAGCTGGAGACAGCTTCCAAGAAGAAGACCCTCCATGACACTCCAATCAAGTGCCAGGACATCTTTAAAGCCTTACCTGACCAACAGACTCTCATCAGAGCGGTCCTGACCAACGGAGTCGCTGGAGTTGGAAAAACCTTCTCAGTGCAGAAGTTCACTCTGGACTGGGCCGAGGGTTTGGAAAACCAAGATGTCAGTCTGGTGATCCCGCTCTCCTTCAGGGAGCTGAACCTGATCAAAGGTGAGCAGTACAGTCTTCTCAGGCTGCTCCATGTTTTCCATCCAACCTTACAGAAGGTCACAGCAGAGCAGCTGGCTGTCTGCAAAGTGCTGCTCATCTTTGACGGCCTGGATGAAAGCAGACTTTCTCTGGACTTCAGAAACAATGAGGTTGTGTCTGATGTCTCACAGCAGTCCTCAGTCAACGTGCTGCTGACAAACCTCATCATGGGGAAGCTGCTTCCCTCGGCTCTCGTCTGGATAACTTCCAGACCTGCAGCGGCCAATCAGATCCCTCCTGAGTGTGTGGACAGGGTAACAGAAGTACGAGGCTTCACTGACGCCCAGAAGGAGGAGTACTTCAGGAGGAGATCGAGTGATGAAGACCTGTCCAGCAGAATCATCTCTCACATCAAGAGCTCCAGGAGCCTCCACATCATGTGTATGATCCCAGTCTTCTGCTGGATCACTGCTGCAGTTCTGGACCACATGTTGACTACAGACCAGAGAGGAGAGCTGCCCCAGACCCTCACTGACATGTACTCACACTTCCTGCTGGTCCAGACCAAGAGGAAGAAGCAGAAGTATGAAGAGGGACATGAGACGAGTCCACAGCAGCTGACGGAGGCTGACAGGAAGGTTCTTCTGAAGCTGGGGAGGCTGGCGTTTGAACATCTGGAGAAAGGAGACATCATGTTCTACCAAGAAGACCTGGAGCGCTGTGGTCTTGATGTCACAGAGGCCTTGGTGCACTCAGGAGTTTGTACTGAGATCTTCAAAAGAGAGAGAGTGATCTTCAAGGAAACAGTCTACTGCTTTGTTCATCTGAGCATTCAGGAGTTTCTGGCTGCAGTCTACATGTTGCACTGTTACACCAACAGGAACACAGCGGTACTGCAGGACTTCCTGAAGAGAGACTGGGACGAAGACAACAGTGATATCAGTGATGATAGCAGAGATCAGGAGTACCCATCCCTGGATGTCTTCCTGAAGAGAGCCGTGGAGAAATCCCTCCAAAGTAAAAATGGCCACATGGACCTGTTTGTCCGCTTTCTCCACGGCCTCTCTCTGGAGTCCAACCAGAGACTGTTAGGAGGCCTGCTGGGTCGCACAGACAACAGACCAGAAACCATCCAGAGAGCCATCAGCAACCTGAAGAAGATGAACAGTGATGAAATCTCTCCTGACAGGAGCATCAACATCTTCCACTGTCTGACAGAGATAAAGGACCACTCAGTACATCAGGAGATCACAGAGTTCCTGAAGTCAGAGAACAGATCAGAGAGACTCTCTGAGATCCACTGCTCTGCTCTGGCCTACATGCTGCAGATCTCAGAGGAGGTTCTGGATGAGTTTGACCTGAGTCAGTACAAAACATCAGCTGAGGGACGACGAAGACTGATTCCAGCTGTGAGGAACTGCAGGAAGGCTGTGTAAGTCCAGATGTGATTAACTTTATTAATAAGTGCAGATCAGAAGTTTATACCTATAAACATTTTGCTGTTTTAAATACTCAGAGCAAAATTAAATGATAAGAGAGATTTTTATAGATATCAGGGAATTCAATTCATACAATTATTATTTAAGTTTATATTAAATTGTTGCAGTTTCTTCATCATTTAATCAGACACACAGGTAATACCTGATTTATATTTCAACTCTATGCTTAAGAGTTTAAAATAGGATCTATATCTTTTCCCACAAATAACACTGATTGGATAATATTGTAATGCTAATACACTGATAACATCTCTATTATGTAATATATATATATATAGATATAATGTTACAAATATTATAACCTAATTGGTTTAATAATTGTGTTTTATTGGATGCCCTCATCAGTCATGCATATCCAAATATTAATTATTTTTTACATTTAATTATGAACATCTCTAACATGGCATGTGTTTCATTTCAGTTCTGTTTGGCAACACCACTGACAGTAAAGGGTAGCCAGCAGAGACAACTTTTACTTTATTAAGATTAGTATTGTTTGAATATTTGTTAAATGCATTAGATTACATTTACTTAACTATTATCTTTTGTGAATAATCTTTGTTTAAAATTGTTTTTATTTAGTCAATTAATAAGTTAATTTAAGTCTCACTTTGCTGTCAATAAATATACGCCATGATGGAGGATATGACATGCATGTCTATATATTGCTGGTCAGTGGAACACATCTTTTTGTTGTATTGGATTACACCAAACACTCCTTTTGAATGTAGGAAGTTTATGTTGGTATGTCTGGATCGCAATATAAATATTATGTGATGCAGCGCAACAACTATCACAGCCTTTGTTTGGAAAGAAATTGAGGCGAGTCAGAACCCACAACCCAGACGAAGGACAGTGGCTTTTTATTTTAGAACTGGACTAAAACGCCACTACAATATTAGTACGGATTGTCCTACATTGTGTTCTCAAGATGCAATCCACTACCCATGCAGAGAATATTCCTTATGGCAATACTAATCCACATCAAAATATAGGAACTACTGTCATTCCAAATATAACTGGAAAACAGCAATGGGGGGCTGACAATGCATATATATATATATCTAATGTATAATAACATATACAGCTGCTCCTCCACAGGAACATTACATCATGTTTGTTTTTTTATAATAACTATTTTTGTAATATATGTGTCCTGACAGACTTTCTGGCTGTGGACTCTCAAAGACTCACTGGGAAGTCGTGGCCTCAGCTCTGAAGTCTGAGCCCTCCCATCTGAGAGATCTGGACCTGAGTGACAACGATGTGCAGGATTCAGATGTGAAGCTGCTGTGTTCTGGACTAAAGAGTCCAAACTGCAGACTGGAGGCTCTCAAGTCAGTTCACTCACTGTAGTTTTTGTATACATTAGGGGTGTAACGGTATACGTATTCGTACCGAAATTATTCGGTATGGGCCCTTCGGTTCGGTACACGTGTGTGAACCGAACGAATATAACGTTAAACGTAAAAAATTGAGAACGTGAACAACTTTTTGGAAGTAATCTCAGGTGCTGCGTCGCAGCGTTCAGTGTAATTTGCTCACATTGGGTTCAACGCGTCATAGAGCGACCAAGTCATTTCATTGGACGAGAGGCATACTATGAGAGCTGGTCACAGGGATGCGTTCAAATGTAGTCAGTCATTTGAGGAACTGTCGAAATGGCGACCGCAGATAAAGTTGAGCTTGATAATCCTCCAGCATCATGAAGTCTCCGGTTTGGGAACATTTTGGTTTCGCAGTTACGTACAAGGATGACGGACAAAGACAGGTGGACCGAACCAAAGCTGTTTGTCGGCATTGTTCAACTAACATTGGTTACGCGGCTGGCTATACATCAAACTTGCACACTCATTTGAAAAGGCATCACCCGAACGTGAATATCACCGGTACCAAAAGAAAAAAGACTGAAGTGCAAACTCAACTCCCACTAGCATTTAAGCCTCCACCACTCGCAACAAGTTCAGACCGAGCCAAAGCTATTACAAACGCCAAATATCCTTATGTTGCCATGTTAGCAAAGCGCTACCTGGCTGTATCTGCTACCTCTGTCCCTAGCTGTGTTCTCCACAGCAGGAGACATTGTTAGTGCCAGCAGATCTGCCCTTTCGGCAAGCAATGTGGACAAGTTCATTTTTCTTTCAAAAAACATGAAAATACAATGACAAGCCTAATGTCAAGCTGGCTGCTTTGGTACTAGTACAGTACAGTTCAAATACAGATGAATGTTTATGTTATATTTTGTATTTATTTGAGTGAATACATTATTCACAGTTCACCAAAAAATTATTTAATGTTTTGTGATAATTTTTTCTGCTGTACCGAAAATGTACCGAACCGTGACCTAAAAACCGAGGTACGTACCGAACTGAAATGTTTGTGAACCGTTACACCCCTAGAATACATATATATTTGTTTAGAACTACAGCTTCTGTGAGGGAGATGAATGAGGTTGTTAAAGATCTGATGATAGAGACAAACCGCTGCAGAGTTTGAGCTTGGATTATGAAGGATCTGTTTCTACATCATTGTTGACATCTAAACTTTCGTCAGTTCTGAACAGTAAATTAAACCTTAAATATTTCAAACAGGATAATGATTTTGTAAAGTTACATGATGAATCCTTACTCAGACTGAGGTCCTTCAGTTTGTCAGAGATCAGCTGTGCTGCTCTGGTCTCAGCTCTGAAGTCCAAACACTTTCAGCAGAACAAATACATCTTTGGTGACCGTTCCTTTAAATGTTTTTAGAGATGATGTAATGAAAGGCTGATATTATGATGATCCACAATAACAGAATGACAGTCACTGTAATTCAGGGAAAAGCTCATGGATTAGAACGCAGTAATTTTGAGCTACACTTATTAAACCTGAACATCTGATTGGATTATAAATGTATTTTTATCCTCATCATGTTTTCTTTATTCAGACTGATTGGCTGCAGCTTGACAGAGATCAGCTGTGCTGCCCTGATCTCAGCTCTGAAGTCCAACCCCTCCCATCTGAGATTTCTGGACCTGAGAAACAACGAGCTGCAGGATTCAGGAGTGAAGCTGCCTAGAGATCTTCTGGAGAGTCCAGACTGCAGACTGGAGACCCTCAGGTCAGTAAGGGGTCTCTGCTGGTTCAGCAGTATTGTATTAAACACAGGTGTTTCTCTCACTGGGGAATCACAACAGATCAGTCATGTTACCACTGACTGCAGTTTCTCATTTTCTCATCTTATTTATCTTTCGTTATCCCACAAAGGTTCAAGGTTCAAGGTTCTTTATTGTCAATCTGACATAGCTACAGAGTAATTATGCAGTTGAAAATCTTATGTCACAGGCTTCTCCAACAATGCAACATAATAACATAACATAATAACAATAAGAGCATGAGCAATACAAAAATAATAATAGTTATAAAAATGAAATAAAGTTATGATGTGGAATAGTGCAGTATGAGTCTATATACAAGTTATTGGAATGATATATATATATTAGGTATTAGATACATACTACTGATTAGCAGTTGAATGTTTGATGTTGTTTCAACAGTTCAATTGTTTAACAGTCTCACTGCCCGCGGGAAGAAACTGTCTCCGAATCTTCTTGTCCTTGCCAGGATGCTGCGGTAACGTCTGCCAGACGGCAACAGAAAGAACAGTTTGTGGCTGGGGTGATGGGGGTCTTTGATAATCCGTAGTGATTTCTTCCTGAGCCGCTGGGAGTAAAGGTCCTCCATGGATGGCAGCTCCGTCCTGGTGATGTGCTGTGCAGTTTTCACCACCCTCTGTAAAGCCTTACGATCGAGGTCGGTGCAGCTGCCATACCAAGCCGTCATGCTGCCAGTGAGGATGCTCTCTATCGTGCACCTGTAGAAGTTGCAGAGTATCCTGGAATCCATTTTGAACCTCCTCAACCTGCGGAGGAAGAAGAGCCGCTGTCGAGCTTTCTTGGTGATGGTGGTGGTGTGAAGAGACCATGTCAGGTCCTCAGTGATGTGGACCCCAAGGAACCTGAAGCTTTTGACTCTCTCCACCGTAGTCCCATTGATGGCGATGGGGGCGTGTCCCTCTCCCTGCTGCTTCCTGTAGTCCACAATCAGCTCCTTTGTTTTGCTGACGTTGAGATGGAGGTTGTTCTCCTGGCACCAAGATGTCAGGTTTTCGACCTCCTCTCTGTATGCCGTCTCGTCATCGTCTGTGATCTGGCCGATGACGGTCGTGTCATCAGCAAACTTCACGATGGTGTTGGAGCTGTGTGTGGCCACGCAGTCGTGGGTGAACAGGGAGTAGAGGAGAGGGCTGAGCACGCAGCCTTGAGGGGCACCGGTGTTGAGAATCAGGGTGGAGGATGTGATATGTCCCACCCGCACTGCCTGGGGTCTGCCCGTCAGGAAGTTCAGGATCCAGTCACAGAGGGCGCTGTTGAGCCCGAGGTCTCTGAGCTTGATGGCCAGCTTGGAGGGCACAATGGTGTTGAATGCTGAACTGTAGTCAATGAACAGCATTCTCACATATGTGTTCCTGTTCTTCGGGTCCAGGTGTGAGAGGGCAGTGTGGAGGGTGAGGGCTATGGCGTCGTCTGTGGACCTGTTTGCTCTGTAGGCAAACTGCAGGGGGTCCAGAGATTCAGGGAGGGAGGAGGTGATGAATAATTTGACTAACCGCTCAAAGCACTTCATGATGGTGGAGGTGAGTGCTACTGGGCGGTAGTCGTTGGGGCAGGTGATTGTTGTCTTTTTGGGGACAGGAATGATGGTGGAGTGTTTAAAACATGTGGGGACTACAGACTGCAGCAGGGACCTGTTGAAGATGTCTGTGAACACCTCTGCCAGCTGAACTGCACACACCCTGAGAACACGGCCAGGGATGCCATCAGGTCCAGGAGCCTTGTGTGGGTTAACCCTTTTAAAGGATTTACACACATCTGCCCTATTTAAAACAAAAGGGCAGTGTAGCTCCTGGTCCCTCTGTACCTCCACAGCCTGGCTGCTCTCAAAGCGTGCAAAAAAACTGTTTAGCTCATCTGGGAGAGATGCGCACGCAGACACTCCCGCAGCACCCCCCGCTGCTCCTTTGTAGTCAGTCATTGTCCTTAGTCCCGCCCACATATTCCTAGTGTTACAGCCTTTGAAGTCAGATTCCACCTTCTCTTTGTACTGTCTCTTTGCATTTTTTATTGCTCTCCGGAGATCATACCTAGACTTCCTGTACTCCTCCAAATCTCCCGCTGTGTGCGCGAGAGTGCGCGCTTTCAGTTTGCCGCGCACCTCACCGTTTACCCAGGGCTTTTGATTTGGGAATGTCCATACAGAAACCTTCGGTACCACGTCATCGATGCATTTCCCAATGTAGCAGATGACAGTGTCCGTGTGTGTGTTGATGTTATTGTCCTCAAACACACTCCAATCCGTGGATGCAAAGCAATCCTGCAGTGCTGAATCTGACTCCTCGCTCCATCGCTGTACTGTCCTTGTTATCGGTCTATCCCTTTTAAGTTTCTGCTTGTAAGCAGGCAACAACAGTAGTGAGATATGGTCTGATTTGCCGAAGGGAGGGCGAGGGAGAGCCTTATATCCATTCCGGAAAGGGGAATAAACATGGTCCAGTATGTTTCTCCTGCGCGTCGGGAAGTTGATGTGTTGGTAATATTTTGGCAAAACCTTCTTCATGTTAGCGGTGTTGAAATCTCCGGCCACAACGAACGCCGCATCTGGCCGTGAAGTCTCGGTTTTATCAATAAACCCAAACAGCTGATCGAGTGCCGTGTTGTTGTCGGCGAGTGGCTGCGGCGGGATATACACTGCTGTTATCACAACAGATGTGAATTCCCTCGGCAGATGGAAGGCCCGACATGAGATCATGAGGTGCTCTAGATGTGCGGAACAGTCCGATGAAATAATCTTCACATCTGAGCACCAGTTGTTGTTAGTCATTACACACACACCGCCTCCCTTACTTTTCCCCGAGTTTGCAGTCCGGTCCTGACGAAAAATAGAGAATCCATCAGGGACAATAGCGGAGTCCGGGATAGCGGGGTTGAGCCAAGTCTCAGTGAGAATTAACACGTTACAGTTCTTAATGTCCCGTTGAAAAGCAATCCGGCTTCTGAGTTCATCTAGCTTATTTTCAATGGATTGAACATTAGCCAGAAGAATACTCGGAAGAGGGGGCCGATTCTCACGTTTTCTCAGTTTGACCAGCAACCCGGCCCGGCATCCCCGCTTTGTCTTCTTCTTGCGTCTCTCAGGTAGAACAGCAACAGGTAGCCATGGTGAATCTCCATTGTTTGTCGGAGGGTTAATATTGTCCACGAAGTTTCGCAATTGGAAAAGTTCCTCTCTGCTATATTGTATGGCAGAGTAGGTGCGGTCGGCTAGCATGTTGCGAACCATGTTAAAAGTAAAACGGCAAAAGTAAAAGAAATATGTGCAAAATACGAAAATGGGCAAAGTTGGAGAGGAGCACAAAGACGATGCGGCCATCGTCACCGGCACAGAGTTATATTATATATAACAATATATTGTAATATATATATAAGCTATATACAATATATTGTAAGCTGACAATGCAAAGCCACATAAGTAAGCAGATTTTTAACAGAAATACAAGATTTACAGAAGAGTGAAAAAGGTAGTCTGTTTTGTTTTCCTGTCATGTTTTTAGTTTCTAGATTAATGAGCAGTTATTTCCTGTGATGCAGCTGAAAGCTGAGGGGGTCAGTCTTAGGTCGCATTCACACCAGCCTTGTATAGTCCGGTTGAATCGAACCCTGGTGTGTTTAGCCGCTTGGTGCGGTTCGTTTGGGTCGGTGTGAACGCAGCCCGAGACCTCTGAAGTGAACTAAACAACCGGACTCTGGTCCGCCTCAAAGAGGTGAACTCGGACCGCTTGCAAGTGAACTCTGGAGCGGTTCATCGCTGGTGTGAACGCAGTCCGCACCAAAACATAGGAAGCGTAGTATTTACGAGTCACAAGAACGCGGATGTCTTCAAAATCTTTAGCGAAAGAGTGAAGCAGAATGAAGAGTTGAACAGTGTCGTGTGAAGTAAAAATGCTCCGTCAACTACACATAAAAGTAAGAGCCACCTGTCGTCTGTGAAACCTCCTCCTGACTGCAGGACGTCTCTCATTATATGTGTTATAATGTTTTTTAACGCACGTCGTCTGATTATATAATCATATGCGGGCCACTAGAGTCTGTTGATATGATCTCCAGATTAACAGCAGCATGAAAAGAACCTGCCGATGCTCCATGGTGGAGGCTCCGGTTGAAATTATCGGGATTTGCATTTTCACCCCCTTAATGTCTGACCAATGGTTGAACAGTATTTCCGTGCACATGACTTGTGTTTAAAGTTTATAGTCCGTTTGAGTTTTCCCGTGTGAATGCAAACTGAACCTCCTGAAAAATGAAACAATGAAACAAACTGTCGTCTGGTGCGAACCATAGAAGCGGACTAAGGTGTGAATGAGACCTTAGTGTTTTAGATCAGTCAGGACTCTGAAGCTGACTAACTCATAGAACAAACAATTATTTTAAACTGGATCTAAAACTGTTGGATTGTGTTCATCCCTACAGGATCAGAGATGATGAGACGACCAGAGCCGAGATCCAGAAGAACTGTGAGTACTGAATATCCTCTATTCACTTACACCTATCAGCACCTCCCTTCTTGTTCACACTCCGGTCACTTCACGCATCGACTACTGCAACTCTCTTCTCTTTGGTCTCCCTCTCAAGTCCATCCACAAACTTCAACTGGTCCAAAACTCTGCCGCCCGCATCATCCCCAGAACCCCCTCCATGAACCACATCAGTCCTGTTCTTCAGCAACTTCACTGGCTGCCTGTCCAATACTGTTTAAAGTATAAGATTCTGCTACTCACCTTTAAGGCCATCCACAACCTCACTCCTCTGATCCTAAATGAGCATGTGCTCATAGAACAACCACAATACTAAAATGAATATTTATTTATTATTAATTAAAAACTCAATTACATTCTTGTTACAGCTCTCTTCTATCAATGTGGCTTCTAATGTTTCTCTTTGTTTAAGCTTTGAGTAAGAGAAAATCAGTCAAAGGATTGTTGAGAGGCGGACATAGAGACTAACTCAGTGAGGAGCTGCCTGGATGGGGTGTAGTGGGACTAATGGGAGCAGACAGCTGGTGAGAATATGTGTGAGATCTATAAGAGCACCTCAAAAGAGAGTACACTCATATCTGAATGAGGAGAGGGAGAAGAAAGCAGAAAACGATACTTAGCCCAGTCAAAGTGGAATTTACCTCCACTTTGACTCCTACAAATTACAAAAAATGCCTCATAACATTTGGTATATTGTAACTACACAACAAAACAATATACCTAAACCACATCCCTCCTTCCTCTCTGATTTCACTGAACTCCTCACACTGGCTTCAGCCCTCACACACACCACATCACCCCGGACCTCAAAGAACTACACTGGCTTCCCGTCTCCCACTGCATCAACTACAAAATACTGGTCCTCACTAACAAAGCCCCTCCACCACCTGCCTTTTTTTAAACTGGGGATTACTACTAGGATTACAATGTGACCATGCATTTCAAAACTAAGAACGATATGTTCCGAGGTTCATGCGTGAACAGTACAACACTTGTGAAACTCCAGGATAGAGAAATGTTTACATAACTCAGAGGTGATAGTATGGACACAGATTTAGTTTTTTTTTACAGTTCATTTTAATTTTATGGAAATATCATATCATTAAAAAAAGATGGGCTCACGCTAAACCACATTTTTTACTTTTTTTATCAATAATTAAAGCAATATAATATCACTATTAAAAACACAATTGTGTATTTAACAAATATTTAATCTGAAATATGAAGCTACATTTTTGTATTTAATTGTTTATATTACTGTATATTTCTACCGCTGTTGTGAACTTGTTTGTATACAAAATATATGTGAAGCGGCGGGAGCTCCAAGAACGCTTTCCCGGGGTACATTTCAAAATAAAAGCTCATACGGCATCACCGTTCAGAGCAAGCTTCACCTGCCAGCCGTCAAATACTCGCTTTATCCGAGGGGTCTCTTTTAAGTAAATTAAAGACCTGTCTTTATTAATTTGGCTTTTCATTTGAGTGGTTCTTTGATCTAACTCTTTCTGTTTTATTTTGTATAACTTGCTTTTAATTATGTTCCTCACTCTTCATTTTTACTCATTGTTATTTGTATGCTCTGTAAAGCACGTTGGGCTGCATCTTGCATTATTATTATAAATATTATAGAGGTCACATTTTTGATACAGAATGTCTTGGTTTCTTCTTTTCTCATGTTGCACTGTTGTCTTCTCTTTTTTGTTACAAGAATACATTTAGTCAAATCAATTGGTATTTATTGTCTTTGTTGGCATACTGATAATGACTTGCTCTCTACTGCCTGCAGTGCACCGATGATCCACCAGAGGGCAGAAGACCTGCGTCAGACTGCATACAGTCCAGGAAAGTACTGGTCCTTTTGATGACGTAGAGGTCTCAGAAAACTCATGTTGCAAATTTGATGGCGTCAAAAAAAGGAACCAGAAAAAAGTGCTTCAATCGAAGTGAAATGCATCAATCTGGAGCACTTTGAGCACAACATGAATTGATGGAAACAGCTCTCAACACTCAGATGAAAGAGAGCTGTATACTTTTCAATAATCCAAACATCTTTAGAATATGATCACAACCAATAACAAATCATTTAAACTGGTTTATTCTTATCTTATGTTTCCTAGTTAGCATTCTTTCCTTTTATTTATGCTTATTTTACTAATCACTCCCCTTTCAAACTGTTTTTTGTTTTTTTTACTGTCCTATACACATTGGAATGATTTCTGACTTTATCTATATTAAATAGATAAAGGTGTGCTCTCCCTAGCTCGCTCGCTCGCTCTCTCTCTCTCTCTCTCTCTCTCTCTCTCTCTCTCTCTCTCTCTCTCTCTCTCTCTCTCTCTCTTCTCTCCCTAGCTCGCATCGCTTCTCTCTCTCGTCTCATCTCTCTCTCTCTGTTTCTCTCCATCTCCTAATCTGCCTCCTCTCTCTCTCTCTCTCTCTCTCTCCCTCTCTCCCTCTCTCCCTCTCTCCCTCCCTCCCTAGCTCTCTCTCTCTCTCTCTCTCTGTCTCTCCCTCTCTCCCTCCCTCCCTAGCTCTCTCTCTCTCTCTCTCTCTCTCTGTCTCTCTCCCTCACAGAGGCTGTGTGCTTCTCCGTGGCGATGACGGCTTGCGTTAAAAAAAATAATAATAAACATATTTGTAAAGTGGGGGGGACACAAACGGGATTTCGAAAAAGTGGGGGGGACATGTCCCCCCTGTCCCAGGTGGAAATTACGCCGTGCGTCAAGTGCAATAAATATATATGCAAGTTGCAACACACACAGTAAAACAGCCCCTCATGTGTTGTATAGGCTGGCACGACTAGGCTGTTCAATGGGGCTGAGAGCTTTGCCCCCCTAGCAGCCCCCCTAAATGTTTGGTTCTTAAAGCTGTTATGAGTAAATCGAAACACCACTATGTCCGCAACCTTCTCAAATCATTATAACAAGCAAAACATTGACCGATTTTCATTTTAAGAGTAACCTAAAGCCCCTAAAAGCGCAGCGTACACACAGACCCCGGGTGACACAGCTGCAGCAGAGAGAGAGCAGCGAGCTGTCCCCAGCATCTGGAGGTGACGTCCGTTACCCCTCGGACCATTTTGTCCTTGTATTGATTTAAGTAAAGACACAAAGAGTTCAATACACACTATTCAAAACGGCGTGTTTGTATTCCTACCGTTTAAAGGACGTCGCCTTTTCAGGCCGTTTCGTCAGCCAACAACACATTACACAGTGACAATGCTAGCTAGGTGATCGATCACTTTTATTTTGTTAGCTAAGCAGTTTAAAAAATATGTAGGTTACCCGTACATGTCACAGCAATGAATTAACAAATTAAAACAAGTTACATGACAAATGTTTACCACATAGACTGTAAATAGAGGTGTACCGTCAAACTGAGAAAATACAATGAGTAAATAGTCGGATCACAAGCTTTAATGATTTTGTCTTTTCTGATTAAATGTAAGTTTATTGAATTTCTAAATGGCTCGAGTAGTGGTAGTTCGAGTTGTTCAACTAAAAATGAAAAGAAAAGAAAAGGGAATATCGCTTATTTTTTTAGCACAAAAAGTCAGAGAACTGAAAATGAGGACAAGAGAGAGGGAAATGAAAAAGGAGAGGAGAGTACACTGGAGAGGCCAGGAGGGTCAGAACATGAGAAGGCCACAGGAGATGAAGATATGGATAAAGAGCAAGAGGATGTGAGAAATTAAGAAGAGGGTTCAGACTCAGACTCGAGGGCAGAGGGCAGGAAGTGAGAAGAGGCTGAGGGACAGAGACAGGAAGTGAGAAGAGGCTGAGGGACAGAGACAGGAAGTGAGAAGAGGCTGAGGGACAGAGACAGGAAGTGAGAAGAGGCAGAGGGACAGAGACAGGAAGTGAGAAGAGGCAGAGGGCAGGGAGGCAGTTACCGTTCCAGCTGGACCACATGTGTTTATTCCTCACCCATTACAGTAGCATAGCAAGGCATGCCACTCACTCACAACGTAATGTAAAATAACATGTTAATTCCTACTTTCTGTTTTATGTGTTATATAGGATTACTTGCGTAAAGATGTACAAATGCATCTTATTGTATTAGTGATTATGATCAAACCAAAGATATAAAACAAATGCTCTGAGTACTACTTGTATCTTACCTGCCGTTTTATTTTTTTTATCGAGAAATTATTGCAATTCTTGTATTATTTTAATTTTGCTGAAACTTTTATGTTTTAAAATATGCACAGTCTTGTTTTGTTTGATCACTGGGCATTACCTATAACAATACATAGTTTAAATGAATATTTGTGTTTTAATGTTTTGTGTAGTGGATTCATCCTCCCATGCCCCCCTGCCAAAACCTCTTACCCCCCCTTTGCCACCCCATGTAACACTGTCTAGATCCGCCACTGGTCTCCCCTCATGTTTATCTGACACTGTGCAGAGGTACATGGTTTAATCACACTTATAGACATGCAATAAGGAAAGAAGCTGCACAGTTAATTGAGAATTTGAATGCTTATTTTATGATATGTAAAGGTATGCAGCTTTTATCCTCAACAAGCAGAGACCGGCCCTTTAAATTTACAAAGTAAATGTGTGTGTGTGTGTGAACCAAAATAAATGAATAAAAAAAACTTAATTTCATACTTTGCTGCTTCCTTTCTTGCCTCTTGAATGTGTCATTAGACCTTACGAAAAACCTCATATTTCCTATCAGTGTGTTCTCCCTCACACACTGCTGTTAATGTGTCTCTACTTTAAAGAGTCCTCCTGCTGATGTTCAGGTGTATATCAGTATGTAGTGTCTCTACTTTAAAGAGTCCTCTCCTGCTGATGTTCAGGTGTATATCAGTATGTAGTGTCTCTACTTTAAAGAGTCCTCTCCTGCTGATGTTCAGGTGTATATCAGTATGTGGTGTCTCTACTTTAAAGAGTCCTCTCCTACTGATGTTCAGGTGTATATCAGTATGTGGTGTCTCTACTTTAAAGAGTCCTCTCCTGATGATGTTCAGGTGTATATCAGTATGTAGTGTCTCTACTTTAAAGAGTCCTCTCCTGCTGATGTTCAGGTGTATATCAGTATGTAGTGTCTCTACTTTAAAGAGTCCTCTCCTGCTGATGTTCAGGTGTATATCAGTATGTAGTGTCTCTACTTTAAAGAGTCCTCTCCTGCTGATGTTCAGGTGTATATCAGTATGTGGTGTCTCTACTTTAAAGAGTCCTCTCCTACTGATGTTCAGGTGTATATCAGTATGTGGTGTCTCTACTTTAAAGAGTCCTCTCCTGATGATGTTCAGGTGTATATCAGTATGTAGTGTCTCTACTTTAAAGAGTCCTCTCCTGCCAACCCTGTCTCCTAGAAATTACGTTCCCACAAAACTAAACTGCATTCTCAAATACGTTTCGCAAGAAACGTATTTCCTTCCACGTTACGTTTGTTATGAACATATCTTAAATACGTTTATTTTCTACATATCTTCTAGAAACCTATTTTCTCCCACATGACGTTTGTTATGAACGTATCTCAAATACGTTTGCTTTCTACCTATATTTGCCATTTCTTTTCTAGCTTATAATAATGATAATAGTCATTTATTAATATCATTTTAGAGCAAACTTATTTTCGCGCTGGCTGGCGGCTGACTTTTCAGTTGACCAAATCCGTTATTATGCTGGTTAATGGTTAATAATCACAATATTGTTTGTAGTCGTTTCATACAGCATTCTCAATTACGTTTAACAAGAAACGTATTTTGTCCCACGTTACGTTTGTTCTGAACATATCTTAAATACGTTTGCTTTCTACCTATCTTTGACATTTCTTTTCTAGCTTATAATAATGATAATAGTAATTTATTAATATCATTTTAGAGCACACATTTGAAATCGACGATCGGGCTTGATATCCTATGGTTAAATTAAAATCAGTAGGCGAGGCTGTAATTTCGCCAGCTGCGAGGCAGAGTTTTAACATGCCAAAAAGCTGCTGTGTCGTTTATTGCACCTCAAACATTAAAACAAATCCAGAGTTACGTGTTTCTGTACTTCCTCTAAGAAGAAAGGACAGTATACAACAGAAGAGCTCTGTGGCTTCAGGCTTGATCGCCGTTCAAATGACAGCTGGTTTCCCCAAAAGTGAGCAGGGCTGTAAAGTGACGTAGGAAAGATCATCAGCTCGCTGATTGGATGTTTTAGCCGCAATGCACGTCGGGATATGGTGTTAATGCGATATGAAATCCGAAAAAAGAATCAGAGTTTAGGATGGCCGAAGACACTACACTACCCATAATCCCCAGCTATCGTTTGGGACTACAGTCCTGTTGTCCCCGTGATTAATCTTCAAGCTCTGGGATTGGATGTTGGAGTGGCAGTGCGCCAAGGTTACGCCGAGCGCCAAACAGCTCTTTGAAATGGAACGAAACCACGGCAGACTTTCCAAAACTGGACTCGAACGGGTCCAGCCCCACCCCCCACCCCCCAGAACTACACGTGCTGGGTATTGTGTTTCGCAACATGTTCTATGGCGTCTCTACTGGGAATTGTAGTTTTAAAAGACGTTTTCGTTTTTCCCAAAATTAGAAGTTGACAGTATTAAACTGTGTACAGCCCTGGAGGTTTAGGGGATAGGAAACAAATTGGTGTGTACAAATGTAAAACATGTAATTAATAAATGGGTGAAAATCTCTTGTGTCCATAATGGGAAGCATTAATATATACCCACATGCCAGCTCATTGTTACTTTGGAATTCTACTCCACTACAATTCAGAGGT